AGCATCAGAGGAGCAGGAAAGCTGACGTTTTGGGCCTAGACTCTTCATTTTCTGCTCCTCTGATGCTGCTTGGCCTGCTGTGTTCATCCAGCTGTACACCTTGTTATCTCAGATTCTCCAGCATCTGCAGTTCCTACTATCTCTAAAGAGTAAGACCTCCTTTATTTTTATTATCCAATCCTTTCGTAATAACATTTAACATGTAAAATGCTTTCACATTCAATGATTTGTACATAAGGATATCCAGGTTCCTCTGTATATCAACGTTTCTTAGTCTCTCACGCTTAAAATAGAAAGGTAGATTATTTAACCAATCTAAAGATAACTGTACGTTTCTGTCTTGTTTTTCTCTCTTAATTAACCTGTCCGTATCCTTTCGGAGCAGAATTTTTATCTTCCTCATAAATCACTTTCCAATCTAACTTTATATAAAGTGAAAACATCGTTAGTTTCTACTCTGTTTCTTCATCTAAGTTATTGATATGTCAGGCACACCCAAACCTTTCATCCAGGGGGCCGTGTTTCAGTTTTTTTTCTCAGTTACGAGGCCAGTGATGTTTTGACTGAGATTGGGTTTGGGCTGGGATTGGAAAGTGAGTGCTGTTAAACAACCGGTATCCAGGAGTTTGGGAGGTGGAGGAGAGCTGAGTGAGGGATGGTGGTGAAAGACTGGCAGTAATTTGGCAGCACAGATCGTGTGAACTTGACTTCACTTTCAAAAGGTTCTCTTGTGCAGGCTATGACTCATGACACCTCTGGGGTACCAGAAATTGAGTCCTTTCGAACCTGACTCGACTGTGTGAAAGTTACAGAAGGGTAGGACATGCTGAATGCCCCAGTGAAGCTGGCCGGTTGCAACTTGACGTCTTGAAGGTTCCAAATAACATTAAAAACCTTGAGAATGGTATCGGGAATCCTGGAATCGGGAACTGCCCACATCTTTTAAAAATGGCTGTCCTGTCACCCCTGACTTTGTGAAAATCCAGGTAGTAGTGTTGCCATCTAAAATGGAAGGGCCTCGGGGAGGATCAGCGTGCAAATCATCAGTTAATCATTTAGTCACAATTGCTGGTGACAGGCTAAAGGGCAGCATTGATGACGGTCTAGGAACAACAGGAGTAGGCCATTCAGCCCCTTGAGCCTGTTCCACCATTCAACAAGATTGTGGCTGAACTCCACCTATCTGCCTTTGGCCCATAGCCCTTCATACGTTGATAAACTTTTGTTAAGCAATCTCAGATTTAAAATTAATAACTGATCCAGCATCTGTTGCTGTTTGTGGAAGAGTTCCAAATATTTACTACCCTTTTGTGTATGGAAATGCTTCCAAACATCTCTCTTGAATGTGGCCCTAATTTTTGTACTGTGCTCCTTAGTTCTAGAATCCCCAACCAGTGTAAATAGGTTATCGACCCTGTCTGTGTCATAGAATCCCTACAGTGCAGAGAGGCCATTGGGCCAATTGAGTCTGCACTGAAGAGTATCCCACCTAGACTCAGTCCCCTCATCCTTTCCCTGTAATCCAGCATTTCCCATGGTTAACCCACCTAACTTACACCTCTTTGGACTGTGGGAGGAAACCGGAGCACCTGGAAGAAACCCACGCAGACATAGGGAGAACACAACAGTCGCCAAGGCTGGAATCGAACCAGGTCCCTGGCACTGTGCAGCAGCAGTGCTAACCACTGAGCCACTGTGCTGTCTTTTCCTGTTAATATCTTGAAGACTTCAATCAGATCCCCTCCAACATTAAAAGATCCACCAGTTAATGAGAAATAGGAAGGTGCGCACCGAATACTTAGAATTACATGATTAAATTGAACTCAAAAGTTAGATGTTTACTTGTCATGGTTTGTTGACAGGAACAAGTCTGCTTCAGGAGCTGGTGTATCTGGTGAGCCAGGATGCTGACCCAGATGAGATTGGAATAATGAATATTGATGAGCAAGTGCCGGTGCTGGAGTACCCTCAGCCTGGCCTTGATATCATTAAGGTGAGGGTATTTGAATTGAATGTGTTTCATTTCATCCCATCTCGGTTTGTGGCATGTACCAGATTGAGTCACATGTGTACAGCAATTTCAAATCTTTTCATTCTGTAACTCCTAAGGCCCTGCAGGAATCCTTTGCTTTCTTGCTGCACCCCACTCTTTTAAATTTTTTTCCTCTCCTTTCTCCATTCCACATCGGCCTTTTCTTTTCTCCTTATGGTGCTGTGGCTTGCTTGTGTGAATGATCTTTGCCTAATACTTTTTACCTTTTAGAAGCAGGGTGGGAGTTATTTAGAACCCAGCAAAAGATGATCAATATGAGGATAAAGCAAGGTAAAAGAGAATATGAATGCAAGCTAGCGAGAAACAAAAAGGAAGACGATAAACATTTACTTCGGTGTGTGAAAAAGTAAAGCCTGGCCAGGATAATTGTGGGCCTATTACTGGTGCAGACAGGAGAATTTATAACGGAGAATAGGGAAATGGATGGAGGAAATAAGCAATTATGGAGGAAAGTATTGAAAATTAGCCTGGAAGACAAGGCAATGAATAGACTCATGAAACTGAGGAACTGAAAAAATTATTAAAGAGATATGACTTGGGGGTGGGAAATCTGGATTAAACATTGATAATTCCCCTGGACCAGAGATACTACATCTGAAAATGTTGAAGGGGGTGGCTATAAAGGTAGTGGAGACATTAATGGCTATTTTTCAGAATTCTATTAATTCTGGAAAGGTTTCTGCAGATTTGATAGTAGCAAATATAATTCCACTATTTAAACAGGAAGGGAAAGTGCAGAACTACACACATTAGCTTGACATCAGTAATAGGGAAAATATTATCTGTTGTAAAGGATGTGGTAATTGGACGCTTAGAAATAATGGTAAAATTAAGTTGAGTCAGCAGGGGTTTATGAAAAGAAAATCATGATCGACAAATCTGTTGGAATTTTTTTGGGATTTTACTTGTAGCATAGACAAAGGAGATCCAGTGGATGTGGTATATTTAGATTATCAGAAGTCTTTTGATAAAGTCCTACACAAGTAGTCAGGAAATAAAAGTACTGTGTGCGTGGACATAGTAGGTAATATACTAGTATGGATTGAGAATTGATCACAGACCAAAAACAAAGCATAAATAAATTATTCTCAAGATGGTAGGCTGTTTCTAGTAGGGTAGCACAAAGATCCGTGCTAGGTTGAGAACTGTTCACAATTTATACAAATTATTTGAATGTGAGGACCAATTGTAATGTCTCTCGTTTGCTGCTGACACAAGGCTAGGTGGGAACGTAAGTTGTGAGTAAGTTACAAGGAGGCTTCACACAGACTTGGACACACTCAGCAAATGGACAAGAACATGACAAATGGAATATAATGTGAATAAGTGTGAAGTTATCTATTTTGGTAGAAAAAGCAGAAAGACAGAATATTTCTTAAGTGGTGAGAGGTTGGGAAGTATTAGTGTCCAAAGGGACCTGGGTGTCCTTGTTGATGAGTCATTAAAATGTAGTTTGCAGCCACAACAATCAAATAAGGAAGGTAATTGATATACTGGCCTTTATCACAAGGGGATTTGAATACTGGAATAAAGATGTATTGCTGCAGTTGTACAGAGCCTTGTTGAGACCTCACTCAGTATTTTGTACAGTTTTGGTCCCCTTATAAAATCCTTGCTATAGACGGAATGTAACGGGGGTTCACAAAGGCTGGTGGGATTTTTCTTGAGGAGGATTCGAGGAAACTGGGTCTGGTTTTATTGAAACTTGCAAAATTCTTACAGGGCATGTTCTTATAAGGTACTTGTATGCTGAATGTTTTCCCTGGCTAGGAGTCTGCAACCAGGGGATATAATTTCAGGGTAAGGCGTAGGCCATTTTAAGATTGAGATGAGGAGGAATTTTTGAAATCCTCTTGCCCAGAGGGCTATGGAAGATCAAACATTGAGCATGTTCAAAACGGCAATTGATAGGTTTCTGGAGACTAATGACTTCAAGGGATGATAGTCCAAGAATGTAGCATTGAGGCAGATGATCAGCAATGATCTGGTTGAATGGTGGGGCAGGCTTGATTGAATGGCCTACTTCTATTCCTTTATTCCTGTCAACTGTGTAAAACATCCCAACGTTTGGATACTTGTTCCTTGTTCATGCCCTCCGTTAGATATCCTGTGGATGAAGGGACAGAACCCAATGGAGAGAAAAGCTCAAGAAACCTTTTCATTTTAGAAAGGTAAATTGCTGCAGGTTGACTTTTCCTTTCTCTTTAGGAACTGACATCCCCTCGTTTCATTAAAAGTCACCTGCCATATCGTTTCCTGCCTGTAGACCTGCACAATGGACAGTCTAAGGTAAAATATCTGCATAAAGTATTTTCAGTAACAACTTGCTGAAACTCTTCAGAAATTGATCAGTATGAATAGTTTTGTTTGAATTATAAATGTTGGAACTGAATTCAGTTTGGTTATATATATCAGTAGATCATTCTTCTCTTGAATTTTTCCTACATTTTCTCCTTTTACATATAGCAGTGGATTAGTGTGGGGGTGCTCATATTTGGGTATGGGGTAGGAATGGTGATGATGTAGATCTGACACCCTGCTCCTAATGGGCTGCTGCAGGATATTTGCTGGTTGGGTGAGTAGGCACCTGGCCCAAAGCAGTGAGTGAGGTTTGTGCTGAGGCTGGAAACGGACCGTAGGAAGAAGGAAACTCTTCAACAGGTACTGACACCATGTGGGACTGGATTTAAGTCTCTTTGAGAGTATAAGTGAGTGAATGTGCTGTCTGGGAGCTGGTGAGTGAGAGGAAGAGTGCGTGTGTGTGTGAGGGAGAGAGAGCGAGACGGTGACAGAGAATGTGTATGCGCGTGTGGGAGATGTTAAGAGAGAAAGAGAAGTAGAGATCCAGACACAAACACAGCCTTTCCCTTGTCTTTTCCCTAAAACCTATCCACAAAGCAGTTTGAATAAAGAGGAAAACTTGGATTGAAAGGCAACCAATTTTCAACCCCCCACTTCTATATAAATTTCAGAGGCCAGTTCAGAGAGTACGCTATCAGACGCTAAAACGGGTTCAACGTCAGTTAAACTCAACTCATGACATGCTGGTGCACAGCCTCTTCCCTGGTGATTAGGGGTCGGGGACTAGGCTCCCAATCTCTCTCTCTCTCGAGATGACAAGAAAAGGTTTGATTAGTTGGATTTACTAATAGTATATCAACTATCAATTTATTACTTTGGAATTTTTCTTTTTTGAAATTCGTGTTGACTGTTGTACCAAACCTTTGCCTTCTGAACTTTGCTCATCAGCATGCTGACTGAGAGGAATTTTTTGTTAACTCGTGGGATGAGGGCGTCGCTGGTTAGGCAGCATGTATTGCCCATTCCTAATTGCCCAGAGGGTAGTTAAGAATCAACCAAATCGCTGTTGGTCTGGAGTCACATGTAGGCCAGAACAGGCAAAGATGGCAATTTCCATCCTTAAAGGACATTAGTGAACGAAATGGGTTTTTCCGATAATCGATGATGGAATCATGATCAACGTTAGACTTACTGAATTTTTAAAATTCAAATTCCACCATCTGCCATGGCAGGATTTGCTCCTGGGTCCCCAGAACATTGTGGGTCTCCAGGGTATTATCACTGGACTGTTAACACCCTAGGCCATCACCTCTCCTGTGAATTGAAAAGTGGGCCCTCCTATGAAAAGATTACACAGGTCTGCTTTAGAATTTAGAATACCCGCTTTCGGTATTCACTGAGATAGATTTTAAAATTGTTCCATCTTTTTTTTTTCCTTGAGGCCAGCTCTCCTTTTGGTGCACACTTTGTTGTAACTGAGGGGAAGGGGGGAGTGAATTCAGTCAGGAATGGAGGGCTCTTTTGGCACAATGGTAGTGTCCCTATGTCTGAGTCAGGAGTCCAAGGTTTAAGTCCTACCTGTGTAATAACATCTCTGAACAGGTGGATTCAAAAATATCTAGACCAGGAAATGACAGATCATAATTTAACATGGGCCTTATAATAGGTGAAGCCTCTGCTCCCTTAATCAAAGCAAGTAGTCACAGTCATATAGCACGGAAACAGAACCTTCGGTCCTACTCGTCTGCAGCGACCAGAAATCCCAATCTGATCTGGTCCCATTTGCCAGCATTTGGCCCATATCCCTCTTAAACCCTTCCTACAGATATACCCATCTGGATGCCTTTTAAATGTTGTACCCATCTCCACCACTTCATCTGGCAGTTCATTCCATACAGAAAAGTTACCCCTCAGGTCCTTTTTTAAATCTTTCCCCTCTCACCTTAAATCAATGCCCTCTAGTTTTGGATTCCCCCACCCTAGGAAAAAGACCTTGGCTATTCACCCAATCTGTGCCCCTCATGATTTTGTAAACCTCTGTAATGTCACCATTCAGCCACTGACGCTCCAGGGATAAAAGCTCCAACCTACTCGGCCTTCCCCTCTAATTCAAACCCTCCAGTCCCAGCAACATTTTTATAAATCTTGTCTGCACTCCCTCAGGTTTAACAACATCCTTCCTGTACAAGCACAACCAAAGTTGTATGCAGTATTCTAAAAGTGGCGTCACCAATGTCCTGTACAACTGCAACATGACATCCTATACTCAATGTTCTGACCAATGAAGGCAAGCATGCCAAACACCACCTTTACCACCCTGTCTACCTATGACTCCACTTTCAAGAAACTATGCACCTGCACCCCTAGATGTTTATCTCTTTGTTTGGCAACACTCGCCAGGGCCCTACCATTAAGTGTATAAGTCCTGCCTTGGTTTGCCTTCCCAAAATGCAACGCCTCACATTTATCTAAATTAAACTCCATCTATCACTCCTTAGTGCATTGATCCCATCTGCAAAGCAGGCATGTAAAATCCTGGGTCGGAGTTGCAGAATCGCCCATCTGTCTGAAAAGGGGCAGGTCAATATACCTAATAGCACCAAACATTTGGATATACTCAGCACATTGTTGACATGTTGAGCCTTTGGATCAATAAAGTCAGTTATCCCTCAAGTTCTTTGAACCTTAGTTGAGCAAGTGAAAGACCCCTGTTAAAATAGAGCTACTTCCAAGAACCATTGACGCTAACGATGTGTTTCCCTATTCCTGCCGAGAAGTGACTCGATTAAACTTAGATGATTGTGTTGCGTCTGTCTTCGAGAACACCTCTTGCAGAAGCAATTGTGGGCCTCAGCCAATAAGAGAATAGTACATTGTTGTGATACGGTCCCACAGGCGTTGAGTGCCTTCCAACGAGCAGCATCCTTCCATGGTTCCACTGCTGATTCTGCCCATCCATTCTTTTTACAATTGGCCAATCTGCCTATTGTCTTTTCTTTATGTGAACCCAAAAATCTTGGGACCTGAATTTCATTTTCAATGTGATTTCATTTTTAATAAAGTAAACTTTGTATCTGTTTATCTTATAAACCTGGGATATTACTGGTGTGGCATGTTACAAATTACTTTTTTTAGTTCCCACCAAAAGTGTATGCACGGCTTTTGCACAAATTTTTCTCTGCAGGTTATTTGCATGGCCAGAAATCCTAAAGACTTGGTGGTGTCTTACTACCAGTTTCATCGTTCTTTACGAACAATGAGCTACAGAGGAACCTTCCAGGAATTCTGTCGGCGGTTTATGAACGATAAGTGTAAGTATCAGAATGATGTCATTAAATCACTTCAGCCTGTGCAAGAATGGAAGATTTTCAAAAGTGGCATGAATTGGGTAACTGCATAATGTGTTAATCAACTGAGATATGATCAAAAACATAAACATGCAATTCATAGACATGCTAGCTTAGATTTTCTTTTCATTTACAATCAACCTTTGTGAAGGAAATAAACAGACCAAGCTCTGAAAAGTCATCACACTGCCTCAAACTTTGATTCTTCATCTATTTACTTCTGGTCTGGCTTCAATAAACGTAGGAGCCTTAATACTAACAAATTTGCTTAAGACTTTTTTTTTATTTTAGTATTACTTCCAAACTTTTCGTGTTACTTACCCACTAAATGTGGACATCTAATACTGTTTACTTGCATGAAGAAGGGGAATTGAAGAATCTTGTGCTGAAGTCAAATGCTGCTTTCAGAATGGTTAGATATGTTTTTTTTTTCACTGTTATATCTTAGTTGTTTAAGAAATATTATGGCAATGATTATGATCCAGCCATATTTACAAAATGATGCATCATTGAATTGGGTGGAGGAAGGAAATTCCCACAGCAATCGCTCTCCTTGTGCTTTTTGAAGGAACAGTAGGTCCAGTGGATGTTTGCTGTACCTGCGATATTGGCAGGCTGACTGAAGTGCCCAAGGTAACAGTTACAGCTAAAGTTTTCAACTGGTAGCAATAGTGCTGTGGTTAGCTAGCAGTGTAAAAGGAGTCTTACAAAAACGATAATGACACCCAACACAAATCAATGCTTTAACAACAGTGGAGAGACTAATTGTTTAGACAGCAACATGGAAATCTGTCGGCCTCAGCTTCAAGAATCACAGTGCTCAGCGCACAAGTTGAAATCCCAAAAGTATCCATTTTAAATAGTAAGCAGACCCACAGAACTGAGTCCAAGAAGGCTGTAATTTTAATTGTGGGATCTATTTAAATAAACTTGCCTGAAATGAGGGTTCAGTGAAGTCCATACACCCACTGAGAACACTTTTTAAAAAAAAAACTTCAAAAATCAGTTTGTGATATTGATCACTTTGTCAATTTACTGATTGGGCATTCTTAGACAATTTTGCAAGATGTCTGCATGGAATTTGCTGCACTATTGCACAATCCGTTCTTACATTATGGAGTAACCTGGAAATTATAATCTTAGGAAAAGCATATATGAAAATGCAGTAAAAATTACTAACTTCGCTGACAATTACATTATTGAACACACCGACATGTGGATAAATAGCTCAATGAAATAAAACAAGCAAAATAATTTGATGTGCAGATATTGCATTTTTTAAGATAATGAAGCATAACATAATTTTAAGATTGGATTCATGGCCAACTGAAAGAGAAAAGGCTGCACAGATTTGAAATGTATTGCTGACTTCTCTATTCATTTCAGAACAATGATGACTTTCTGTTTCCATCTAGAGTTATTGCTGAGATCTCCCAGTTGTCTTTCTGCAGCCTGCAATGCTGAATGTTCAGCGCTGCAGAGTGAAATCCCAAGTTGGATCAATAAGAACATGTCTTACTTCATAATGGTTTTGAAATAAACTACAATACTGTGTTTTACTTCTCTGAATCTTTTGTGTAGAGGAACCGAGGAGATCACCAAATATTTAATATGCTAATGTAGGAGTTTCTAAGTTGTTAACGTGTCTATCACCCTTACAGTGGGTTATGGTTCATGGTTTGAACATGTTCAAGAATTCTGGGAGCATCGTATGGATTCCAATGTACTCTTCCTATTATATGAAGATCTACTTAAGGTAAGTCTTGTGTGGATCACTCCTTTGTCAGGGATAGAATATGATTGAACCAGATGAGCAAAATGATTTTGAAAATTTAGAGGCAGTATTTAGCCTTTTAAAATCATGTCCTAACATGACCTAACATGAGAATCTATTGAAATGACTTTGGTAGTAAGAATAGAAAAGGTGAATTTTTTTAAAGGGCGTAAAACTTGTAAATGTTGATATTCGAAGAAACTTGTATTTAGTCCTAGAGTCATCAACTAGTACAAGTACACAGAGTTAGTGTGAAATTTGTGAAATTCTTTACCATAAGAGGATTATGGAGGCTGGGTTGCTAAATATATTTCAGGCTGATTTGGATAGGTCTTTAATCAGTAAGAAACTCGAGGGTTATGGAAAAAGGCAAGAAAATAGAGTTGAGGATCAGCCATAATCTTATTGAATAGTAGAGCAAACTCAATAGATTGAATGGTCTACTTCTGTTACATTTTAGTTTGATGGTCACTAAGTCGTCTGCTGTGTGTTACTTTTCTTCCCAACAAGCTTGCCTATTTATTTATTTATCTATCTAATTATTTACTTATTTGCTTGTCTCCCTCTATCTGTCTGTCTATTGTCATGTGAATTTCATTACAAAATACAGTGAAAAGCTACTCCGAAAGTGGCAGCAACCTTACCTGGAGACTCCTCTTTCTCTCAACCAAGATTATGCGACCCTGGCCTCCAACATGTTTAAAACAAATACATGCTTATGGATTGCAGTACAATAAATTCTTGCTTACCATTTGCTTGGTTAAATGTTGTTTCTGTTTATTATTGGCTATGCAGTAGCGTAAATGACAGAGTTGAATGCCATGACGTTTACACATGTTGCAGGCCACTGTCAGATAATCTTGGTGAAGAGATACGAAAGAATTGGCAGTGACCATCTTTCAGAATTCTGTAGATTCTGTAACAATGTTTTCAAATTGGAAGGTTACAAGTGTGACCCCACTATTTAAGAGAATGGGAGCTATAGACCTGCACCAGATCTGAAACCTGACATCAGTCATCAGGATGATTGCTGGGATCTGTTTCAACACGTGTAATAACTGGATACTTAGAAAATAATAATCTGATTGGGCAGTCAACATGGATTTATGAAGAGAAAATGATGTTTGACACACCTGTTAGTTTTCTTTAGGATGTTAACAGTTGAAGCGACAAGGGAGAACCGGTGAATGTGGTGCACTTAGATTTTCAGAAGATTTTTTTTATTAAGTCCCACACTGGAGATCACTAAACAACATTAAGCACGTGAGAGTCGGGGGTAATATGCTAGAATGGATTAAGGATTGGTCAACAAACAAAGCAGAGAGTAGGATTGCAGGTTCTGACCGGTGGGATTCTGCAAGATAAGTGCTTGGGCTCCAGCTGTTCACAATCTATTTCAATGCTTTTGATGTACAGGCAAAATGTAACATTTCTAAGTAGGTATGTGACACTCAACCGGATAGGAATGTGTGTTATGAGGATGACACCGCATAGGCGATTTAGATAGGCTGAGTGACTAGAAAAAACATGGCAAGTGGAATGTAATGTCGCTGAATGCAAGCTTATCCACTTTGGCGGTGCTGATCGTTTCTTAAATGATGAGACCTTGGGAAGTGTTGATTTACAAAGAGACCTGAGTGTCCTTGTTTTATGTATCATTGAAAGCTAACCTGCGAGTATAGCAAACAATCAGGAAGGCAAGTGGGACAAGGCCTTTATTGTAAGAGGATTTGAGTGCAAGAGTATCCTGCCTCAATTGTAAAGAACTTTGGTAAGATGGCACCAGGGTATTGTATGCACTTCTCGTCTCCTATGGAGGTGCAGCAGACGTTGCTGGAACGACAGATTGTCCTAGAATTAGCAATTGTGGAGATTGGATTTGTATTCTATAAAACTTAGAATGAGAGATGATATCATTGAAACTTAAATTCTTTTAGAGATAGGCAGAATGGATGCAGAAGTAACATTTTCCCTGAATGGAGGGTTTCTGGAACCAAGGGACAGAGTTTCAGCATAAGGGCAAGCCACTTAGGACTGAGATGAAGAAGAATTTCTTCACACACAAGGCAGTGAATTTTTGGAATGATCTACCCAAGATGTCTGTGGCAGCTCGATCATTTCAGAGATTCAGGATTGAGATCAATAGATATCTGGATACTAATGACGTAAAGTGATGTAGGACTAGCATAGGAAAATGGCATTACGATAGATGATTGAGCTGTGATCGAGAAGGGTGGAGCAGGTTTGAGAGATTAAATAGCCTTTTCCTGCTCCTTTTGTTCTTTTGTGAAAGATGCTGTATGATTACAGGTCTTTCTGTGATGAAACAAAACTGTTATTGGAGCAAACATCCCTAAGATGTGGAAATTGTGTTTCTGATATTAGAAATAATATTTTTTCAGTTTTATGTTTCAGGCCTAATGTGTTCTGAAAACTGTGACTTCTAGTTAAAGTTACCTGATCAAATTGTTGCAAAGAAAATCCTCAATTTCTTTTGTATGTTGACTTTATATTGACTTTACTTTCTTTGAACAAATTTCTGTGTTCCTTTTCCTGTCTCTTTCTTTTTTATTTTCCAGTTTAGAACCTTTTCTCCAATATGTCCATGCTTCTCCCCTTTTTATTTTATTCTATTCTTCAAAATCATGTCTGCAAACCTTTTGTTTGGGAGGAATGTTGACTGTAAGAAACATCCAACTGTTTATTCAACTGAACGTTAATGTGATGAGTTTCAACCTGATCGGCATCACGACACCAAAGATTTCTTTAGAGAATCTGACTGTAATTTTAATTATCCATGAAGCCTATTTGGGGTTTTTTTGCCTGATTTTTATTTTTTTTAAAAAGATCTTTTTCTTCCATACCAGCATCACAGACTCTGTATATTAATTATGTTCTAAAGAATTGCTAAAATTATCCATCATGAAACAATTACATTTGAAGAGTCGATTTTAGGGGGATGGAATTAGCTGCAGACCTGGTTCAAAATGAAACCATTCTAATGGTGATGTGTCAATAACCAAGTGCATCATTAATGTGTATACTCTCTGCCACTTCTGGCAGAGGTTTGTACTATAATATTACTCTGCCTAGATTACAGTGCATAGGTCCACAGCATTTTCACCTGATGATTATTAATAATAATAATATTATTTCTTTTAATATATATTTTTACATCTTTTTCCCGCTCCTCTGTGATAAATCTTTAAAACATGTTGGGAAATGAATCTGTTTCATTCAGCAAGCCAACTTGTAAACTTAACAATATCACTTCTAGCTTAAGCAAGTGCTGCATCCTAACCATTAGCTGATCATGAAATGTTTGCTTCAAAAGCAAAATCGATGAGCAGAATGCGCAATAACTAAGGATTAGTGTAGCTTTCTAATGCAACAGAGTGAAGTTGTGAACTGTATCTGGAAATGCAATCAAGATTCCAAATTGTCCCATGTAATCTGTTATGTCTAAGTAAACTAATTTCCTAACAGGAAGTATGGAATAGCAAAGTGAGCGGACTTATCTTTTTTTTAATCTCTCCTGTCCATGAGGAAAGACCATACCTTGGCCCAAATAAATATGCACTCCTAGCATAAGGTTTTGCAAAGGAAATAAAAGTGGGTAAGAACTTGAACATTCCATGGGTGATTGGTTCATCTTCTGATTCCTCAAAGACTTTCCATCACCTCCAATACCCAAGTCAGGTTCATCAGGATAAGAGCTACATCCAACAACATTCAAGAACATTGATACCATCCAGGACAAAGCAGTCTGCTTGATGGACCCCTCTTTTATCACCATAGTCATTAATTCCCTCTGTCATCAGGACACTGGCTGCAGCACATGTCTTGTACAAGACGCACAGCAGCACTTGCTAATGCATTTTTGAGAGCACCTCCTGAACCTATGACCTCTACCACCTGGAAGGTCATGGGAAGCGGGCACAAGGGATGTAAGCCACCTACAAGTTCCCTTCCATGCTGCAGACCATGTCATTGCATCAAATTCAGATGTTCCGACTGATCACGCCTCACCAGACAGCAGTAGTAAATTATCCTCTTCTCAAGAGGTATGAACATTAAATTGCCAGCAACATCCATGCCAATTAGATAAATAAATTTAAGATAATGAAGTCCTGGTTTGCTTGCTTCAGTCCAATTCAATTAAAATTTTCTTGGAATAATAGAAATTAGGCAACCTGTGAGCAATAATGTATCATGCTAGATCACCATAATGAAGCGGTTTGGAATGGCAGTGTTTAGAGTTCATCTTCCATGTTCAATTTCGAATCTCAGCCGCTGAGAGAGCATGATGAATGAAGACAAAATGCCTTGCAACAAGGGAAAGAGAGCAAATTTAACAAAGTAAAAAAATGTTTCAAGCCATTTCTTTCTGATGCAGCAAACAGTAGATGCAAAGTGAAAGATGGAGGTATTAGAAGATTGGTCAAAAAGGTGTGTTTTAAAAACGGTCTAAATGAGGGATAGGTGGTTTAGAGGCAAGGAATTAGGAAAGGGAAGTGCTTGGGACCAATGTATCTGAAGGAACATTTCCTTCCGAACCTGGTCAGGAGTGGAATTATTAGAGACCTGCTATTTCTGTTTTCTTGGATGTGAAAAATTATTTGGCATGTAGAGGAGTGGATGAGTGATAGGAGAAAATCATATAGAACTTAATATAATATGTACCCTTGTAGGAAGACAATAAATCTGTATTCCATATGCAAATCACTCAATATCCATCAATTTGTGGTACTGAACAAAAGTTCGCAATCTAGCACTGAAAATGCATTTTTAGCTACAATTCCTGGTGGTTCCCATTAAGCAGGAACCATTTAAAATCTACCAATTAATGGCAAGGATGATACCAGGGGATTACACTCAACAAACAACAAAAACAGAATATTTGTTTTCAACAACTGCTCTTTGTCAATTGAAATATTGGGAAGATACTTGGAGAGATGTTACATAACTCTCAGTAATGTGTAGAATAATTTGGCAGCAGTTTTCATCATGATCTCCAGTTAAGATTGTCTGTTTGTTTGTTTTTTTTCCCTCTTTTTGGAAGAACCTTGCAGGTACCGTAGAGCTCTTAGTGCGGTTCCTAGGTGTGTCATATGACAGGACTCAAATAGAATCTATAATTGAACACTGCCATCAGCTCGTGGACCAATACTGTAATGCAGAAGCACTTCCCATTGGAAGAGGTGAGTGCTGAGAAAAGTAGAAGATAGGATTATTTGATTGTAATGTAACAATGGAAGCTACTGTGAAGTAATTGTCGTGTTATGACAATAATTGTCATTAAACATGGGAAGGTATAATAAAGTAGGATTCTTTAAAATGAAGTTACTCCACTGTATGCATGCTAAATGCTAGTTATATTAACATGTATATCATTGCATCTGTGAATGCCAAACTTATAAATACAGAGGGAGACAAATATAGATGCTTTCAAAAGAATGCATCATATTTCTAAGATAATAAGACAATCAGAATAAATTTGTAAAAAATAGGGTTATGCACTCTCTACCATTTAGAAACATCACAAAACGCTGTAAACTGAAGTATATGCTTCTGAATTGTATTATAAATGTGAGTATTTTCTCTGGAATAATCTCGGTCTTCACTCCTTCATGGTTTTATATTTCTCTCGTCAATGGAGCATACTTGGGATTTCCCTGTTCGAGAAACTCTAAGCGGTTGCTGCAGGTCACAAGAGAAGTACACAGTAACTATCTATTTAACTTTTTGTGGAATTGCAGCCTTTCGATTATGAAACTCCTCCCTTTGAAATATTTTTCTGACCTCTGCCTCTGGAGTTATGAAAGAGGTGTTGTTGAAATATATTGCGCTTTAAACATTTTAAAGAAAACACAGTTTGACCATGAGCTTCCAAATGCAGGCAAAGAAAGCTTACAGACTTGTTATTGGTCAAGTAAAAAGGGTGTCACACATGTGCAGTTTATATACCTAGTCTCCTGTGTGATGTGTTCATTGCGTGGCTTTGTCAGACATGATGCCAGATTGTGACCTACTCAGTTAGGAGGGATCAAAAGTGACGTGTGAAGTGCAGACTCTTGGGACAGTTCCAGACCAAATATAAGATAGTCAGGCAGACCATCCCTGAACATGACTGGTGTAGAATACAGCTCACAAGCACCATGCAGAGGTACAACTTTGCAGTTACTGTTTCTCCTTTGCTAGGGTCAACTTTGCTCTTTTTGTTCTTTTTACCTGCCCCCAATAAGTCCAGATTTTGCGAAGGCAACCATGCCAGATGAGAGCTCCTTTTCAAACGATCACTCTCTCACTCTCTCACTCGAATACGTTTCAGTATATGCTTAGAGGGCATGTCTGCTGAACTTCTGTGTACCAAACTTGTTTTCTTGATGATAAAGTTCCAGGTTTTAGGCCTTTCCTCTAATTGTGCTCTAATCTCTTAAATTCAGCAAAGCTGATTAGTTTTATTGTCCAGCAAGGAAAGTTGAACATGACTGCATCACTCAAAATTATTAATAAAAATTGTGTTAACGTAGAAAGTTACAAATTGCATGTTCTTTCACAAACATTGCGAAATAAGACGAAACTATGCATTTAAGAAACATTGTTTCATTTTGTTATGATATCGTGGCTGCCACTATATATTTGGAGATGTTAGTTATAATGATTCAAAGTTCTCACCCGCATATCAGCAATTTTTAATTCAGAAAGGGACATCAATCGAAGGTGTTCCCCGGTGATTCAGGAGTATTATTAAAACAAAGTATAATGCCAAGCCAAGGAAGGACATATTATAGAAGTTGGTTAGTGAGGTACATTTTTAAGGATTTTCTTCAATGAGGAAAGACAAATGCCAAGGTTTAGATAGTGAATTTCAGTAATCCCCCAAAGAGGTAACAATTAATCCTGAGGAATTCACAGTAGATAAGAAGATCTGTCACTGTAGTAGCCACCTGACCATATCTTCACTGAATTCCTGTGCAGTGTGTAGCAATGTCACTTTCATCATGAGGAATGTAATTCCATATTCAACAAGTGTGTTGGTTGTAATATTGTGTTTCTTAACCTTTTACCTTAAGTCCTTGGAGATTTTGCCTTTCACCATTTCCATAAATATTGGTAGATTTTTTTTGTATCTCTCCTAAAGTATCTACTGTTTCTGTGTGAATGCTGACAGTTTTATCAGGCTGTTAGACACATCAGTTATTTCATTTCAAGGTATTTCCCTCTGGTTTGTTCAGTATTGATATTAAATATTGCATTTATATCTTGATTTTTGGTCTTACTCGGAATATTAACCAGTTTAGCAAATCAGCTACTGCTCATCTTATGGATAAAGAACTAGAAAGGTGGCCCAAAAAAGGCACAATTTCTCCAATTGAGGGAAGCAAGGATTTTTTTAAAACTTAGAAATGGAGGTTTATGGCATCATTTTGAGAGTATGTTTTGGTACTGAAGATCTTGACATCAAGTAGTGAGCATGATATGGAACTGAAGAGCATGGCATGTATAGTGAATGTGGCTGTAACTGAAGGTCTTCATCTAAAATAGTGAGTGTGGCCTGGAATTGATAAGTATGGTATAAGGTAGTGAGTGTTATCTGGAACAGAAAACCTTGCACCTGTTAGCAAATGTGGTCTGGAGCTGAAGAACATGGCATTTGAACTGAAAAGGAACATGGCATCAAACACTGGCTCGTATTCTGCTTTAAAGGGCTATGTGACATCAAGAAGTAAGTTTGACCCTGAAAAGAGAGATTAAGTTGATTGGAAGTTGGGGGCAGCAGACACTATCTCCCTCCCTGCAGCTATTGGAGTTCAGAATCGGAATTTACCATGTGAATTTTAAGAAGTATACGACTCCGTTTTAATATAAATTATCAATTTAAACACTGAAGTCTGGCTCTTGGTTCTTCTACGCTTCTCAGGTTCACCGCCATTTGAATCTTCATACAGTCTGTTGTGTTAAAATGAGCCTCAATTATTTTTTGTTGATTTTTGCTAAATTAAACCAGCTCAACAATAAATGTTGATCGTGGCAATGATTCAATTGTCTGCTTTCATTTTGTTAATGGTTCAATTTTCTAAATGCCTTTTCATGTTTTCCTTTGATATCTGGATCAAAAATACACTTACCCAAAGGAAGGTTTGGGGTGAAAAGTAATTCTTTGAAGTGTCGCACATATGTTTGCTTTGATTTTTTTCCAGTTTTTATTTTAACGTTTTGTTTATGTTTGAAGCATTTTAGTTTCTTCTTCCCTTTTTGTTTTTAGCATGTCGACTCATTGAACTGAAGACCTAGTGTAATTGGTGAGAAGGTAGACTAGCCCCATCCCATTGCCCATTCTTCTGTTTTATGGCTTTTCATCTAAACCCGCACACATGTACATTACAGCAAGGTGGGTACCACTGTTTTTTTATTAATCCACAATAATTAAGTTTACTTTTGTCGTGTGCTTTTGGTTAAAGGATAAATAAATTGCAATGAAAAACAAATCCCTTATATCACTCACACCGCTTTCTTTCACTCCATTTATCTCGGATTTTAAAAGAAAATTGAGCTTCATAGAATGATGCAGCAGCAGATACCATTTGACTCATCACACTAATGGCAATTCTTTTGTACAGCTACTCAATTTAATCCATTAACTCATTAATATCAGCCCTATTTTAATTTGACAAATAAGACATATTCATTTTACTTTAAATTCCTCCAATTCTAATTTGATTATCTTAGCAAAATGCTTCATCACTATTAAAAATCACGCAGAGTAATTTTATTCCCGCTGTAGTTGCCAATTCTCTGGTCCCGCAGCTGCTCTGAGACTTGTGGACTTGGTACTGCCCTTCTTGTTGTTCTTGGATGAATGCTTTTATTGTTTTCCGTATCTAGAGTGTTGCTTCCTGCTTTTCTTAGAAATTTGCTTGTGTTCCTATTTCCCTGAGGAAGGTGACAGCCCCCACCTGTCTAATAGCTGTTTAATTTTTCTGATGATTTGTAAAATTATGAAAACTACTGATAACTCACTGTATTCATCATCTTGAAAGTCCTAGCCTATTGCACTATCGCCTGCATTGTTTTAGTGTGTTTGGGTCACTGGTGCCATTGTATGTTGTGCGCTTCCTAAAATTTTGCCTTGGTCATTACATTGGGTATCCCCAAAGCTAATGGAGTCTAACACTATGCAACTCTAAAGAAGCTACTGTGGTATTCCAATGTTTCTGTTATATTGTCATTCAAACAAAGCTATGTTCATGGCTATCTTCACAGCTATCCTGTTTTCTGTCAAACATTTTATGCTGCAGTTGAAGTTTTACCACATTACACCTTTTCTC